CGGGCAGGGGCGGGGCAGGGCAGGACAGGGACAGGGCTGTGGCTGCCGAGGAGGGGGGAGGGGGAGTAGGCTGCCCACCTGCTTCATCATGGAGTGCAGGGCCACGGCCGGGAAGTTGAACTTGCGCAGCATCATGCACAGGATCTGGCAGGTCCTGGGGGGTGGAGGGGACGCTTGTGTCACTGTGGGGTCCCCGCCACCCACGCCCCACCCTGCAGGCGCTTGGTGGCCCTGCACAGCCCCGGAGTGGGGGGCGCTGAGGACCCGCCAGCCAGCCAGCCACTCCGTCCCTGGGCAGAATCAGTGGGAGTGGGAGCGTGGTGTGAGTGGAGACCAGGCCGGGCTTGGGGGGGGGGGGCTGGCGTCAGCGCTCAGCGCAGGGCCTGGGCTGGCGTCAGCTCTCAGCGCAGGGCCTGGGCTGCACCTCCAGGACCATAAGCTGCAGGATCTTACTGCACCTGACAGCTCCTCTGGCCCCACCTGCTCTCCTGGAAGCCCGTACCCTGCGCGCTCCTGCTGTGTGTCGGCCTCCTGTCCTGAGCTGCAGACAGCCCCAAGAGCGGACGGAGGCTCAAAGCAAACTCACATAACTGCCAGGACATTGGCCACAGCACAGCGCCCCCCCATGCAGGGGCGAGGGGCTGAGGGCAGGGCTGGAGGCGGGGCCGGGGCAGAGCGCGCACGCACTTGCAGGTGTTGGTGAAGATGATGATGGCCCAGTCCTCGTGCTCATCCTGGAAGCGCTGGACCAGGTGCACCAGGTACGCATCCTTCACCTTCTCAGGTACCAGCACGTAGCGCTGGTCCAGCTGCTCCACTGTGCGCACTCTGGGGACAGCAGGTGGCCACGTCTCAGTGTCCCACTGGCCGCCCCAGCCTGTCTGGGGGCACCCCCCACCCCCAGCCGGGCACACACGGGGCCTGTGCCTCCCAGAAGAAGGGCTGGTTGGTGGCCAGGCCCTGCAGCTCCTTGAGCGTGTCAGTCAGAGTGGCGCTGAAGAGCAGCGTCTGCCTGCGGGCGGGCACGGCGCCCAGGATGGCCTCCAGGTCCACCGTGAAGTCCGTGCAGCCCTGCTCCAGCAGCCGGTCGGCCTCGTCCATCACCTGGGGAGGCAGAGCCGTGGGGAGGTGCCCCCCCACGCCCACCCCAGCATGCCTCTCCCTTTGCTTTTTTGAACTGGAAATGTCCTGGGGTCTGAACGGAGGGCCCTGAACTTGCCAGGCCGACGCTCCAACTCCTGTGCCCACACGCCGGCCCTTCAGTGATCGCCCGACCCTGTCTACTAAGCCGCTGGGATTACAGATGGGCTCGATGCCTGCCTGCCTTTCTTCTTTGAGGAACTTGGATGGAACCAGAAGAGCTAAATCACCACAAAGTGCCCCCCCCCTTACTAGACGTCCCTTCTCCTTTGCCCCTGGGCACAGTCACTTTTTCCAGAACTTTCCTGGAGACAGCTGGGATGCAGGCTTCCAAGTGGGAGGTGGCACCCAGGCTCCTGAAAGCCCTCCCCCCTTACCCCCCACCCCCAAGGCTGGCTTACCAGGAAGCTGATCTTCTTCATGCTGAAGGTGTTGGAGCTGCGCAGGTGGTCCGCCAGGCGCCCTGGTGTGGCAATGACCACGTGAGGCTTGCGGGAGAGCTCCAGTGCCTGGGTCACCATGTCTGGGGGGGAGGGTGGAGGTGAGGCTGGATGGGAAGCCGCGGCGCGGGGTTTCCACACCCGGAGCTTCCTGGCCTCTGGGCCTTACCCATGCCACCGACGATGATGCAGTCCTTCAGGCCCAGCGGCTTCCCCAGCACCCGGAACTGCTCTGCGATCTGATAGGCCAGCTCCCTGCGGGCGGGCAGACAGGCGGTGACAAGGGTGCAGCCCAGGCCTCCCACTCCACCCCTGCCCCAGCCTCCTGCCCCCATTCGCCTGTTGAGTGCTAGAGCCTGCTCCGGACTCAGTCCACACCCCTTCACACCCATTCCAGCCCCACCCTAAACTTGCACCTTTTTTCAAATCCCTCACACTAGAGGGGCAGCCACAAAAGCCAGAGACCCAACCTTCCACATCCCCTCTTCCTGGGCTGGCCAGTCTGAAAGCCATGCTCTGCAGTGCTCTGTCTTTGTCATGACTCCTAGTCTTGCCTAGCTTGTTCAGATGTCCTCAGAGTCAGTTCAAACCTCTCGCTGGCATCGGAGGCTGGGCAGAGCGCCTTTTCTGCCCCTTCCTCCCTCACTCCTCTGCATGCAGGTCCTTTTGCTTAAAATACTTTCTTTGGCCGGGCACCCGTGCTTCATGCCTGTAATCCTAATTACTCAGGGGAGACTGAGAGCTGAAGATAGCAGCTCAAAGCCAGCCCTAGCAGGAAAGTCTGAGAGACTCTTATCCCTGATTAACTAGCAAAAAGCACCAAGTAGAGGTGCGGCTCAAATGACAATGGCAGGCTGGAGAGGAAAGAGCCAGTCAAGAGCTCAAGGCCCTGAGTTCAAGCCCGGTACCAGTACACACACAAAACAGACTGAACTTTACTTCTCAGCTGCCAGACAGCCTGCAGATCCCACCTGGCAATTGCCTGGCCCCAGCCAAGCCCTGTGCTGAGAACTTTTCCCACTCACCATCTGGTTCAATCATGTGGGTGACTCCCCCTATTCTGCTTGTGGGGGAGACACAGCTCAGAGAGTGAAAGGCACGTGAAGCTCAGTGGCGCCCCCGGGGCTGGGGGTGGTGAGGGGCTCACCTAGTGGGTGTCAGGACAAGGCAGAAAATGCCGTAGGGATCCTCGGACAGCTTCTGTAGGATAGGCAGCACAAACGCAGCCGTCTTGCCGCTGCCGGTCTTGGCACAGCCCAGGCAGTCTCGACCTGGACAGAGGGCGAGGCAACGAGGTCACCCTGCAGCGGGAATCCACGCTCCTCGAGATAACACTCACTCACTCCTTAGGTTTTCTGAACCTCCAATAATAGGCGACTTGGTGCTCTGCACCCAGCTGCCTCTTGCAAACCTCAAACCCTAGCAAGGGAGAAGTTGTCATCTCCAGTAAAGGGGGGGGGGACTGAGTCTCAGAGGCCAACAGGGAGGCACAGTTTGCTCGGAAGCCCCACGTGTTCCTAAGCACTGTGCCATTTTGACTGTCCCTGAGGACCTGAGCTTGGGGAACCCTGAACCCTAACGTCCAGTTCACATACTACCCCCCCTGGGCTCTTGAGAAAGCCTCATTAGTGGCCATACTGGGTGGAGAGAAAGACGCATACACAGGATCCTAGAGTCCTGGCCTCACCATTATTAGTGTTGGCAACCTCAGTTTCCCCTTGTAAAGGCCAGCTGGGCCCCACTTTCAGTTTCTCGTGACACCATTTATCAACCTCTCCTGGCGCTCGGAGACAAGGAATGTTCCAGAGGTGGCGCCACCCGGGACCTCAGCTCTGTTGCCCGCCCCCCACCCCGCACCCCGGCCCCGGC